CCCGCGCGTATGTATTCCAGCAATGACTCTAGATAGCTACTTGGAAATTGTATGATGGCGGATTCTAGTGAGTACAATTTATTGAAACCAAATGAACTCATCTTGACTTCTATCTCATTCTTTAAAAGGAAAATCAATCTCAACTAAGATTGAAAGATTACATCATGCAGGTTGAAAACAATTCCAAACTAAGAAAAGCCCATGAGATTCACGCAACGGACTGTAGCTATAATTTTTCTTTAAAGTCCATTCAGTTTACCCTCATGTGTATGCACAATCAAACTAGACATATTTATTGAAGACATTCTTCCCAAATCAAATCTGGCCCATGTGAACTCAGAAAAAGCTCCCATAGTCTTCATCTACCCTCACATGTGATAGAACTGAGTTGAGGGCCTGGAAGAGCTGCTATTTAGGATAGATATCGACTTTTGATCGAATTCGAAAGTGTCAGTAAGTTCCAATAGAGATCATCATCTCACATTGCATCTTCCACGTCCGATTCTATGAACCGAGAATCTTTTCAAAGAGGTCTGCAGTAAGAGTTCCTGCACCATTCTCCCTGGAACTATTTGTACTCGCAGCTATGCGTGTACAAATGTGTGCATCCGCTGTCAGACCCTCCAGCAGTAATCCATGAACTGATCAAGAGAATTCTTCATGCATCTCTTACACTCTTCTTTTCAGTAACCTTCAGTGTCATGTTTTCGCTCTTCTGCCTTGGGTGACTAATGTGTTTGCATTAAATTCTTAACACTTATGCTCATCCAGCCCTTCGAAAAATCACATTGCTTAGAATCTTTTCTCCTTTTTGTTAACGACGGTTATGCGATCTCATCTATCTTTCTCCAACTTTCATTTTCCACTATTTGAATTGGAATAATATATCAGATCCTCGACAAGTTTTTTATTCCCTCCAGATGAAGCTTTATATTTATAAAACTATTTTCGAGGAAACAATGATTCATATTTTTTGTATATTGATTTGCTTTAGTTTTGAATAATTTACGTGTTGTTGGTTCCAAACATATCACATTTGAAACGTAGATTCACAATTCTAGGTGTATCACAAAGTATCTACCGTCTCTTAATGACTGAGTGAAGGAATTAGGTTGCACTTAGTGAGTTTGATTAAAGGAATTAAGTCCGAAAAAATTTAATTTTCTCATCATGGGGATGTAGAAATATCATGTCGATGTTCGCGGTACAAATAAAATACCAAGTCACTCAAATAACGGTCATCAAAGGAAGCAAAGATTCAGTTTCATTCTCAACCGATGTCTCATTTCGGTGATCTCCTTTCAAGAATATTACCAAAAACTTACGAAAAACTCAGTTTTTCGTAAGCCATGACTAAATAAAAAATTTAATCAATTCAAAGCATAGTTTACTCTACCCGGAAATTATTTAGGTTCTATTAAGCACTGACAGGAGTTTTTTGGAGGAAGTATCAGCCACTGCAAATTCACGAACTTAGTAAGCGCTCCCATGTATCTCACATATTGAAATCGAGATTGACCAAAAAATACTTCCAACAATGTGGAGTAAAAATATCGTCGCATCTGCTTTCTGACAAGACGTGTTCTAGCGTATGGTGATTCACTCATTTCTGGAGAGTAGTTGAGTTTAGATGAGAAGATTGTAAAGTCATAGTGTCGTAGTATACCCGTAATCTCTTACTGAATTATTACCTGAGAGTATCTCGTGCTGCATGAAAGTTCGATGATTTACATGTTCACGAGAAAGGATTGTTGAATTCCGTTCTGGACTTGTCCAGAATCAGATTCTCTGACACAAAGAAGTGACCTTCTGGAAGAAAAGCCACAAGCAAGTGACAGAATGTTCAGAGTCCAGCGAGGGTTATCTGCTCTAAAAGTAGCATATGCCGTGAAATCACAAGGTTCCGTAACATGCAAATACTCTATGCCAGTCACTTACATCCTCAAAGCTGTCGTGATATTGGTGCCGGTAAAAAGAACATGTCCTGAAGCAATTTAGTGTCTAAATCTTCACCTGAAACCAGTGAAGCTTTAGTGCCTACGACGAAAAAGAAGATGGGATAGTAAGTTGCCTCGAACTGCTACAACAACTATACAGTTCCAACAGAGTGAGTTGAAATATGTCAGACTCAGAAGTCAGCACAATATTGACTGATATGAGTACTTATGATGCTAGCGTAAAAGCAAGAGCATACGCACTCCGATAATTTAGATAGTCAAATCGTTGGTTGAAAGTGGAGACTAAGATACAGAGTTTGAACTTGGACTCGAATCGTCTAGAAGCATATTTTTTACTCTTGAATGTGTCTCTGTGCACGAAAAGACACAAGCAAGTTTACTGTGGACTGCTCAGTGTCCAATCAGCTAAAGGGCCATCTGATTCGAAATTTGGGTTTGGTGTGATATCACAAACTATCGTCACATAAAGATGCCTCATGCCAGTCATTTACATCATTGAACATTATCATCCGTTTCGTGCTGGTACCACAGAGGCGTCCTAAATCAGCATACTCTCTGAATGAGTAGAACTTCTGTGTATGAACGAACGTCAAACGAATGAGGCATTCATAGATATAGAGACAAAGAAGATGGGATAGTAAGTGTCGTGGAACCTGCAATGACAATGATGCAGAGCCAAGAAACGTGACTCAATATACTTCATATATATGTCAGAGACGGAAGCCAGACGCCAGACCCCGCTGAACCACGCACATTGCTGACTGACATTAGTTCTTACGATAACTGGCGGAAAGCATGAGCACAAGCACCCTTGTACAATAAAACCGCGGGTTGTTGACATGATTCATTGCGGAGGGTCCCATTCTCAGTATGAGTTCTTTGCCCAGGGCAGTAACATTCCAAAGTACCTACAGCCATCAGGATCCAATATCCGACCTTAATACGCTATCAGCGGAAAGTTGGTGCGAATCCAAATTGGAGAGGTTTTCGTTAACGAGAAATCAGGAAAAAACCTTAGTAAGCTATTCACTGAATATCAGATAGTAATCAGTGAATAACTTACTACTGATTACTAGCTGTACTTGAATCTCAAGAGTCAAGCGTTTGATGGCAGATGAGAGAGCTCAAAATTTCATCACAAAACGTAGAAAAGGTTCGTTGTATAACTCTTACGATTTATTACACAATTCTGAATAACCTTTGGCGAGACGAAGATATTTGACTCCATCACCATTAAACACCTGCCAAGTGGTTAAAGTTCTATTCGCAACGTAAATGCATGAAATGTAAAACTTGAGTCTTACGTCACCTCTCGATATACTGACCTAACAAAATATTTCAAGAAGATTCCTCAAAACGAGACATGACTTGAGAATGAAATTTTTCTTTGCTACCTTTCATGACCGCTCTTTGACTTACTGGAATAGAATTGAATCAGTTTTCTAGCTCAAAAGATGAAGTTGATGAGTAAGGACCATGAATATTACACTTATCTTTCCTCTTTGCCCAAATATCATTCATATCATATAATTGTTTCGGTCGATTATGCATTTCATTATATAAATTAGAGACTCTTCACAAGTCTGTTAGCCAAAGACCTGAAAAAATAACTGATGATGACTTCTTAAATAATAAATGTTCAGCAAAACTAAACACTACGTCTAACTTCAAGCCCCAAGATCTCAAGATAACTCAAGTTCCAGAAGATAAACAAATTATTTTTCATACAGAATCTGAATTTTTCAAACATCTTATTTACCTTCTAGACTACTTTTCACCATAATGAACAACTTCACTGTAAATAAAAATAAAATTGAGATAAAGGATTATCCAAAGTAGATTTTTGTGATGGAATTGGAATAGGAAAGAGCATAACAAATCAACGACACTATAAACTCAATATATGACATAATACAAATGAGCTGGAAGTTAAGATCATGAATATAACAAGAAGAAACGATTAGTATCTGGAAAATCGAAGATAATAGTTTTAAAGAATCAATGATTATACTCAATATTGCGAACTTTTACATTTTTACAAAATGAAGACAAGACATTTTTGGTGTTTGATGTTTCTTTGACAAATCCTTGTGACAAATCGTTTTTCCCTGTCCCTTGAGTATGAAAAAATGTATGAAGCCGTTGGTCATGCAAGGATGGAGAAATTTTTGTTAAAAATTACATAATCAATAGATTTTGTATGGAAATGTAAGCGTCAAGGCTAAGATATAACGCAATGCCGTGCATTGTTCTAGTCTCTTTTTTATGCCTACCAACTAACCTATTTAGAGATGATGGACTGCCTCTTGAAATTCATTGAAAAGGATTTGAAGCCACCCAGAGAAGCTTGGTTTAAATTTAAAATCGGAACAATTCTTTTTAAAATTGTCAAAAACACCCCATTACCAAGAGAAGCTAATGATTAATATATCTACATTCTGGTTTGCACATATTATCTGACTTTCATGTCACCAATCCTAAATGAGAATCAAAATTCTACCAGATAATGATGAGTATACAACAGAAATTATGTTTGGAGAAATGCATTGATCCGCATACAACATTAACATGTTGTAAAACAGATACAACGCCATGAAGCAAGTTTCGAAGCAACAGTAGTAATAAATGAAAATTGGAGAATCTATGACATGTACAATGACATATGAATAAAAGCACTAAACTCAAGTTATACATTTCTACTGGACTAAAATATTGAGTGAGGTCTGAGATTGAGGGTGACTCAGATTAGTCAAAACCTCATGACTATACTCATTTCTAATATTATCTATCGTTGCGGTTATTGTATTTGAGATTCACAAGTAGATACCGTGTGTTTGAGGTCTACTGACGAGAAACACGTAACTCATTCCTTCCGACATGCGGTTATTGTATTTGAGATTCAGAAATAGATACCGTGTGTTTGAGGTCTACTGACGAGAAACACGTAACTCATTCCGTCCGTCATGGACTGGTCCCCACTTCACGTCCATGAAATGAAGTATTTAAACCAACATGCCTGCTTTCATTCGTCACTTCGGACCTGCGTTTGCATCGTTGGGTTAGGTTGTCGAGAATGGATTCAGAAGGGGAGGACATCAAAGTGAGGATGGAGAGGGAGTACAAGAGCACAGAAGAGCCGATGTTCTACCTCGCAAGTCTAAACACTGCAGAAAAAGAGAGAATCCGAAGATTTCACACCTCGGAAAGTGGTTCGCACCAAGCATGCGGTTATCTGTACAAAGAGATCGAAGCAGCTTCTGATCACGTATGGAAGGTACTTCGGCAATTCGACAAACCTCAAATCTACAAGGAGTTTCTCGTGGGATGCAGCATGATCGAGGGCGACGGAACAGCCGGAAGTATCAGACATGTTCGGCTGCAAACAGGACTGCCCGGTATTGATAGCATCGAACAACTTGAACTGCTTGACGAGGAGAGCAAAGTTCTAAGTTTCCGCATTCTCGGAGGTGAACACAGATTGCGAAACTACATCTCAGTGACCTCCGTGGCTGACAGGACCTTAGTCAATGGAAGGCAGGGTTCTTTGGTAATTGAATCCTACATCGTCGATATCCCGGATGGAAATACGGGTAATCAAACTGTCGCAATGGTGAACACTCTCATCAGAACCCATTTGATTTCACTAGACAGAATTACGACCATGGAGCGGCGAGAGCCATTCCAGCCCTTGAATCCAAGTTTCAAATCTCCAACCTCAACATCGAGTTGTTAAGCAAGCTCATCTGTCCGAGGTGAGTGACTCTTCCATGATGTCTCACATGATATATTAGCTTCTAGTGTCATTTCTAAACAACCATTATTTCAAAATATTTTTTTTTACAACCTTAACATGCACATAGAGTACTCAAATATATTGACCGTGGTCCTCTCCTAGGATTTTAAAGTGCATGACTGTCAAAATACATGATCGGGGACTTGGAAACCTCCAGTTTCCTATTTTCAAAAACTGTTATCAATAGATCCCGTTTGTGGTCTGTAAGTTGCAGGCAGAAGCGAGTTCTGAATTTAGGTGATAACGATAACCGAATTATTCTTTGTAAAGATCTATGTTCGGAGTTGAAAGCAAGTAAGAATCTTGATACGAAGGAAGTATTGGAGAAATAGTTGACTTGACCATGACTTTGTAGTTTCTGCCTAATGATATTGCTGATCACTCAACACTCTTTTGCTAAATCAGACTATCAAAAATATTTTTTGATAGTCTGATTATAAAAGTCCTTAGTGCCCATAGAGCAAGGACTTTGAAAATCTTCAAGACTATATTATCATGTTTCTCCCAGAAATTCATACTTCAGGTTATCTTTATCTTTTTTGTTCAAGGATCCGCAACTTTAAGTCAATTGTAATGATGTAGCTAAAAAGACGCTTTCTAGATAGCTTCTGTCTTAAATGATAGTAAGTGGAAAGTCGCTTATTATTTGACAAACGTATGTTATAAGGAACTTCCGATGCCCATGCTTTATTGTATTGCTATATTCTAGACACAATTTTCAGGAAAGATTAAATCACCTCTATTTATTACTTCCGATTTTTAGTCGAGATTTCCATTGTACAAGTCTATAAGCTTTTCTTCGATTGCACCTACAGTCTTCACCTACATGTAATATACAGTCTTTATACCAATGACACATGAATTTTTGGGTGTATGTATTATAATGTAGCTTTCTCGTCTTAAGCCAATATATCATTTTTCGTCCCATATATAGTTTCTTTCTAGCTTGAAACTAGTCCAATCCATATTTTGAGAGCAAAACACTTCTTTTTAGGAAGACATGTGATTGTGGTAAGCCAATTTTAGCGGATATCAGCGAACTTCTTGTCGCGAGCAGATGACAACAATATACACATGTCACGATGGCGTTATTAGATTTGAAGAGATTAGATTTTCTGGTGTAAGTTTGAAACGACTAGATTGATATGAAAAATTGACTTGTCTCTTTGTAGCTTGTGAGTCTTATTACTTTTTGTACCATACAGAACTTGGGGATAAGTTTAAGCCCGTGAAGTTACAAATCCTAACGGATTGTCGTTTTTAAGTTTGATACAATATGTAATAATATATGGGATTTAGCAAAAAGCCTTTAGTGAATCATAATGTCTTCGTCTAAATTTACTTCTGAGTCAACACGGGATAACATATTTTAATGCGAACCTCGTGATATATTCTCTAGAACTTTCAGTGAGCTTACTGCAGTGTTTTCCGATCATGTTGACTTGTAGAAGGAATCCATCAATAATGGAAATATTAAGAATACGTGATACAGGTTTTGAATCGTACGGCTGCGAGGAGGCAACGGGGAGGAAAGACGAGACGTAAACGAATAAGCAATGAGCAATCTGCGGAGCCTGCGGAGCGTATGGAAAGGCGGAGAAGGAGACAAAGGCAACAGGATTGTAGTTGAATCTAGGAGGAGATGTGTAAGATGAGAGGAGCGGAACCAACGTTTATGGAGGAAATAACTATTAGCTCCCATGGTTATTGAAAGAGGTAAAGTGGCATCTCCATCAAGTTGATGTAAGTAGGATAGATAGATAATTGAGCACTTGCACTACTTTTTGGTTTGAGGTGACAAAGTTTTGAAACAGCTATTGGAGCAGTTGACTAATATGATGGACGCTCCTGTTGCTTCAAAGTAGATGTACAATGCCTAGAGTATCCAATGTCAACAAAATAATGTGCATCTATAAAGTATATATAGTAAAGGATTTCCCTTGCAATCTATTCTGGAGCAAATGATGAATCCTTTTGCATGAAAGGAATCATCATCAATGGATCTAATGTTCTCCGAGAGAATCGGGAGAATCACTCCTAAAATTAGATATTGATCAAATATAGGCTGAAGATGTGTGATGATTGAGAGTAGACATAGACTAAGATATTAAATTTTTTGTTTGCAAGTCTTCATCAATAAACAGAAGGAGTTGACAAAGTTTTGGTCTAGATTAGAAATAAATATTCGCAAGGGATGAATGTATCTGGCTATGAGCTAAAAGATGAATGGGCTCTGCTAGAAAGTCTGGCCTTCCTCCAGGTTGGAATATTTTAACTGTGTTACTCTTTGGATTCCTTGGATAACCACTTTCGTATAATAATTCACATGTTTGCCATTGCTAAATAAAACTTTGTTCCTCTGATAAATACACCTGAAATCTGTTCTATAATTGCTTTCTATTTTGTATGTTATATGGTCGGAGTATGATAATCGGACCTAGTTGCAGAAGAGTTGTTAACATGAAACACTGAAGGACTTGATGAGTTCATGAAGCATCTGCTATTGATTTCATGTCCAAATTTCTGTTGTGGAAGTATGAGACAAAAGACTTTCTAGCATCAATGTTGTTGAGATGGCCAAAAAGTAAATGTAATAAATGAAATATAAAGAAACAGAAAATGTAACTCTGATAAATAAATATGTAGACTTTGCATACATTAAAGCACTTGATTATTTTAGCTACAACTTGTTTTTAGAAGTACTTTGATTCAGCGCCAAACATTTCATATTTCAAAAATTGTGGTAATTGGTGCTACATCTCAACCTCAACCAGTCAATTAAAAAAATCAAGATTGGACTCTGAGTTCTAAAACCAAAGATTCATCATTATACATCCACATAATGTTTGGTTTAAGACTTAGCACCAACCTACGCAATTTCTGAATTATCCGTCGCATCATTACCAAAGGATTCACAGTTATCTACCTTGTATCTGAATCTCACGTTACCGCATCTGCATGAACATGCATTTGGTAGTAGGATCTTGATTCTCCATCATCAATTTACTGCATGACGTCGGTGGATGTACAAGAAGATTTTGTATATCGGATTAATAAATGTTTCTTCACACAATTATTCTATATCTTTTCTTTTTTTCAATACGAATTAAAAACTGGCTAGTAAACTTTTACATAAAATACAAAACAGATTTAAAAACGTTTTGATACAAGAAGAAACAATTGATGAATCTTTTTACGGAATTTATCAATCCTAGATACAAAATCAAGTTTTTGTTGGAAAAAATTAGAGAATTAATTGTAACATGTGCAATACATTTGCAATACTTTCGGCTAAAATGATCAAGAATGCTAACTGAAGATTCATTGACACATGAGTGAGGGAAGACATGTTATCTTCAGGGTTGAGTGCAGAGTTCCAAGTTTCAGCCGCCTTTCATAGTTTTGGGTAAGGTTATCTGGTTATCTGGCGTGGCCCTGGTGCATTGGGCGCATTCCTGAGAGCCGATTTATCGGCCGCGAGGGGACGCGCGTCTCACGAGGACGTAGCCTACTTGAGGAAACACGCAGGCAATCTCCAGGATGTGATCAGACTCTCGTGCTCCCAGCTTCAGGACGAGTAATGTCGTTCCGTCAAAGAAGGGATGGTAGTTTGTGCCAGGGGCTTTCTTGAAAACAACAACGATGAAGAAGAAGGCGGGAAGGAAGAAGAGGTGAAGTACTTCGACGCGCGAATCATGAATATTTTCATCGTCGAAGGTGTGGGGGTTTCGAGCGACATTCACTATTCGCTCGAAACCTCCACACCTTCGACGACGAAGAAGATCGCTGCACCTGTGTTTTCGAGGCGTACTGGATAACGGGTCCGCACAAGAAGAATTTCGACGTTTTTCACCTTTGCGGACGTTTGTCTACTTAATCCCGGGCACGTCGAATTTCTCACTGTTGTTCAAAAACTATTGCACTTGGTAGACAGTTCGCTAGTGTTGTCGGATCATTTTGAAAAATCTCACCCCAGGTCTAGCTTTACAGGCCCGACTAGTAGCAGGGAAGCGAGCACTAACAAAGATAGACCACTAGCTTCCGAGCAATCAGAAAATCCGGATTTCCATGTTAGAATTGCGGAGTCTGTGCGCATTAAGGAAAATAGCACTACCGCAGAGAGAAAAACATATTGCGGGGGAATTTACCACAGTCGCGGAAAAGCGCATCTGCCCTGGCTTAAGTGATCTTTCTGGAAATTGAAATTGAGGTTAAGATTGAGACACCAAGGCATAGAGGTGAACTGGTCCCCTTCGTGCAAGTGTTGTGTAGGAATCCAACGATATATTCTTCTCTCTGTCGAGCCCTATGAAGATCATGACAAGGGTCCATGTGGATCATTCGTTTGCAATTTTGATCTTGCTTGGAGCTATGCTGCTCATTGCAGCTCCCAGCTGCAGATCAGATCATGTTAGTACTGTGATGGCAACAGTTCTACGCTCTCCACTTCCACCTGCACCAATTTCACTATGAAAATGCGCTATATAAATAAGATCGATTAACCTTAGACAGCTACGCTCACTTCTCGGGCTGATCACACATCGTGATACTCTAGCTGCTGCGATCCTGATGTTCGCCTCCTGCGCTCGTACGATCTAGCGTCCGCCTAAACCGTCCACACCCAAACTACTCGTCATAGCCGCCCGTGCTTGTCTTGCCCTGCGAATTGACCCGCTCGTCTTTTGTTTTCTGCTAATTAATGAGGACTATGGTTACGATTCGACTGTGGTTTCGACTATTACGATGGTAACGACTCGACTGGCTACGATACGGACACAGCAGAGAAGCTAAAATGTTCAAAACTGATAGGCCGAACTGCTACAGGGAGAATACATCCCTCTCTTCTGCATGCAAAGCACGTTTCTACGGACAGAGTTCCAAACCAAAAGTTACTTCATCCTACAGAAAAATGTAAGCTACTAGGTGAATCTGCAATGACCATTGGTATGGAGGAGAATTATCTGAAATTTCAAGAGCCAGATCCAAACAACAGTGGGTGCCTTCGAAGGATGGCGAGCGTCAATCATGTAACCCACGATGGTGGCACTATTGTAATGGTATGTATTTGAGGTAAATACAAATCAATAGTTACACTAGTAAAGTAGAATTCCCTTGACCTCATCACACACCTTATTCCTTGCATATGGTACACTGGTTGTATGTCGTAAATAAACCGACCAGATCAATGTTGGCGTAATCAGAATGATCAGAATGTTAGCTTAGCTAACATTCTTCACGCATGCACTTCTTAGCAAGGTGATTGCGCTGGTCTTAGTCAACATTTTCAACAATCTAGCTTCTGCTCGGGTAGACTAGAAGTCTTCAGGAGCAGAGAAGTCAGAGTTGAAACGTTATGTGAGAGATCTTGATGTAAGAAGTAATGTATACTAGAGAGCTTGATCCAAGATCCATAGCTGGGCCATTCTGCTCAGCTCAATATCTCAAAAGTAGAATTCGAAGTGATTTAGTCACTAGGATGATGAACCCGATCATGAGAGTCCTATATAGGACGTAGGGTAAGAGACAGGATTAGATCCGAAGAACAAACTTGAGAGAGACCCCTTATCTTTTGCCATTCCAGCGAGCGGTAAAGAGACAAGATTGGTCCAGGATGAAGATTCCTCTGAGAAACCCGAGCGTTCAATAAAGCTGGCAAATTTTGCCCAACGCATGAGCTTTTTACTTTTCCTCCGATCAGGCCTCAATGACTCTATATATGATTCACAGGTGACTATATTGCATACTTGCATTAGTTCCCTTGTTTGAGAGAGCACTGAGATCGACACTCATTCAGAGACGCCAATTGTTGTCTCCCTTGAAAATATTAGAGAGATCTGCTTGCCGACTGTGAAAACAGTTCAATCTGAATGATAAAATGAACGTGGCGGCTATTTCATCTAGTGCTCAGTAGACATGTTGAAGAGCAGGCAGCGATCCGCAATAATCCGTGGCAATGATCACTTTCCAAAACTAAATTATTGTATAGAAATTGACGCTTCTGGTCCCAAGGCGTTGAACTGTCCATGGTACACAAATTCCAGTCCGAGCTAGAGTTGAACTTGCCTTTCCAATGTTCGAATGTTCCAATGTTCTTCCGAGAACGCCAAATCTTGCTGGCAGGTAATCAGAACTTCAATAAGCTAAGCAATCAAATAAGGCTGCATTTAAGAAACTGGCACCCCTACTGGGTTTTCGGATTAAATATACGAGAGAAATAGAGGAATAAATACATAATTGATTTGATGAAACCTTTTGGCATATAGAGGTGTCATTACGGTTACAGCGTCTTTTTACTAGAAAAATTAATTAAATCAGATGAATAAAATAGATAGCCATTACATAATATCTCCAAGATCATCATCATATCACCCAGATTTTTACGTCTAGATTATAAGATGTACATAATTTATCAACAGACTAGAAGAATATGGTTAGCAAGTATACTCATTCGAGACCTCGTCTTAAAAACAAAAATAACTTTCGAACCAACATCTACATGAATACGAGGAGTTTTTAAAGCGATCTGAAAACTCCTGGTCTCTAAAATGCGTGCGTTGCTACTATGGCTCCTCTGGCGACGATGCAAGTAGCTGCAACCGGTCACTCATTCGGATGCTTGTTTACGACCAGCAGCGGTAGCGACAGGTCTCATGTTCGGCTTTGAAATTCCTCCCGCAGCATGTCGCATTAGCAAGTACATCCATTCGAGATCTCGTCTTTGTTTCAAATCGTTTTAAAAACAACATAAACTTTTGAACCAATATTTACATGAAAACAAGGATTTTTCAAAGCAATTTGAAAACTCCTCGTCTTCATGTACATATTGGTTCGAAAGTTTTTGTTGGAAGAACCCTTGAAAACCATTGTACCTGTGCAATAGTTTTTGCTAGTATAATTCAAAGCACCTTGAGACTTGACTACACGAACTCACATGTGAAAACAA